TGTGTGTGTGTGTGTGTGTGTGTGTGTGTGTGTGGTGTCTGCATGCATGCACACACACGCCCACCTGCATGTGTGTGTGTGTGTGTGTGTGTGTGTGCATTCAGTGAGCATGCTTGTGTGCAGGCAGGATGCAGCAGGAGAGCCAAATTGCTGCTCAACTCATCATACACGCAGTGTGAGTCTTGAGCTTTCCAAGGTTGACCCTCTTTTGCCGGCCATTCTGTTAATTGAGCCAGCTGTGCCAACTCCTGAAATGCAAGGACAATCTTGTCAGCAGGGGAAGGCACCTTGCACCTCTTAGCCAAATGCAGCGCAACCTTAAACCGATTAATAAAACTCTTAAAAGGATAATATTGTTGGGTAAAGCGCTAAGGTTTTCTGCTCTGGCTCGGGTTGTATTTTTATGAAGCTGTAAGCTGATTCTAAAAGAGAGCTGGAGAAGAGGGAGCAAGAAAGAGACAGAGACGCTCATAGCCCACAGCCTCTTGTTTGCGGATTATTTTCCAAGATGCTCAGTAGAATATCAATCGCCTGTGATTAGAAGTCCTGCCAGGTAGTACCTTGCACCGAGGAAGCATTAGAAGTGAAGGCAGTTCCTCTGAGATGCCACATGTTCCAGACTTGGAAAAATGGCTCTGCTGAGGTTTCACCCTCTAGGTGGGCAGGGCTGGCAGTGGGACTTGGGAGGGGAGAGGAACCAACTGGAGACCGCAGGTTTGGAAGACCCTCCCATTCTATTCCAGATGAGGAGCTGGTCAACTTTAATCTTTTGGAATGGAGGGGGGGCAGTGCATCAGAGTGGGAGGGGCTCAATGACCTAGGGTCACTGAGGAGTCTAACCCAAGGCACTTGAGAGAACTCTGACCAAGTAAACTTCAGAAAAATCCCTCTCTGGGGGGCCATTATCTGAAATCAAGCAAGCCAGGCATGGAAGAACTAGTCGCACCTCTTCTCACACGTGAGGAAGTGGAGTTGAGCTCACAGAAGCAGGGATAAGAGCAGAGGTCACCCGAGGCAGAAGTTACGGAGGGCGTAGAGATGGGCTGAGCATCAGGTTCAGAGCTCTGTTACAAAGGCACAGTAATGTCTTATGGTCTACAGCAAGTAGCAGGTGTGCAGCTCTTAGCAGTGTGCTATGTAAGTCACAAAGAACTGAAAGAACCCAAAGGTTCCCAACGCAAAGAAATGATGAGTTTTTGAAAGAGAAATGTTGATTGCTCGAACTTGGTCGTCATGGCCACCCAATGAAGCTTTACTGTCAGAAAGCTTTTCCCAGGCCCATTCTATCAACCCTTGCATTTCATGGATGATCATGTGACCAAGCATCATGAAAATGGTTCTTTCTCTTGTGTAAAACTAATCGTATATCCAGATGTGACCCTGTATAGGCTCAGTTATTCAAATGCAGGGGTATACATGCTTCTGTCCTGGGTAGCCTCAGAAACTGATGGACCCATCCCATTTATCCTCCAAGATAAGTCACTACGAGCCATGGAGGAGCAGGTGAGCAAGATGAAGCATGGTCTTGGTTTTCAAGCTCAATTTCCAGCAACATGGTGGCTCACAATCATCTATAATGAGATCTGGCGCCCTCTTCTGGCATATAGGCATATATACAGGCAGGACACAATAGATAATAAAGAAATCTTTAAAAAAGAATCGTGAGGATTCTTTTTGGTAGTGAAGACCCTTACAAATACATGTGACATTACTCATCCACTTTTCCTAGTTGTGAACATTAAATCACGCCCCCAAGGCTCCCCTTACTTCCCTCTACGGCTTCCCACCTCTCTTTTCTTTCATTCATTTTTTTCTTTCCTTTTTTTTTTTTTTGACAAGGTTTCATAAATCACAACCAGACTCACAATTATACCTGCCATGGGGTGGGGGTGCAGGTACTGGAAATGTAACATAAAATCCAGGCTCTTGAGCAATTTTGATTCCCCAAATGTGCCAAGAAGCCTGTACTCAAACAACCACTGAGTTATATCCCCAGCATTTTTTTGAGTAGTTTTATTTAGATGATTACAATAAACATCAATTTTGATTTGCCTGTTTTAGAAATTGCTTAATGTTAAGTTTAATAAAATTGCACCATTTCTGTTGACAAGAGTTTAGCTACTGTGAAACTCAGTCTTGCAACCATCACCACAAGTTTAGATTATTGTTATCCCAAATGAACCCTTCAAAACTTATCTGCCCCCTTCTCAACTCTTTTGTCCCTTTATGCTCAACCCAGGGAACTGCTCATCTGCTTTCAATTTCTATGCATCTGTGTCTCCTGGACTTTTTGTATACATGAGACCGTACATCTCTTTGACCGTTGTCATTGGCTCCTCTTCACTTTGAAGCATCACGCTTTCAAGGTTGGCACAGACTGCCACACATGTCAGTGGTATTTGCTTCCTTTTATCAAATCGCCAACTACCTGACACTGACATATCTTACCTTTGTGTGGTGTTTTACTCTTTTTTTCGGGGGGGGGGGAGGGCTGCCACCCAGATCCCAAATAAATCACGCATGGAGGCTTATTCTTAGTTATGAATGCCTTGCCTTAGCCTAGCTTATTTCTTTCCAGCTTTTCTTAAATTACTCATTTAACATTTACCTCTGTGCTTTTTCCTTGTCTTATTTCTATCTATCTTACTTTCACTATTACACATGGCTTGCTGGGTGGCTGCGTGGCTGCGTGGCTGCGTGGCTGGGTGGCTGGGTGGCTGGTTGGGTGGCTGGCTGCCAGTATCCTCCTCTCCTTGTTATCTCATTGTTCTCTTTCTTTATTTCTCCTTCTATTTATTCTCTCTGCCCTCCATATCAGCCTACTCTTGCTTTCTGTCTTGCTATTGACTGTTCAGCTCTGTATTAGACCATCTATCTTAGACAGGCAAGGAATCACAGCTTCACAGAGTTAAACAAATGCAACATAAACAAAAGCAACAGACCTTAAAACAATATTCTCAACATTTCCCTTTTTCTTTCTAAGCAAAAATAAAAAATTAACTTTAACATAGTAAAACTGTATATAAGAATAATTATCAAATAAAGACTACATTCTAGTTTTACTGCTTACCCAGAGTCCAGAACCTTCTTGATCATTAGTTCCAGGTCTGGACAACACCTCCTTTCCAGAGACAGGCATATCCACCACATTTGCATCACCATGGCCTTCAGACACTCATCCCTTCTTTTCCTCAAGAATTTACTACACTTGAAACACACGCACAACAGCCTGGCACCAAGACCCAGTATAAAAGACCTCCTATTGCCAAAGCCCAATGAGAGGAGGCCTCACACTCTCTGTCCAGCCAGCTCTTTGTGTTGGTTAAAGGAGTCATCATTGCTTTGGATCCTGGAGGCATTCTTCCCTCTATGTGAGACCCACACCCAGTTTCATCCAGTGGCATAAGAACACGTTAGAACCATGACCGAAGATCAGCCAAACAGAGGAGGCACTGAGCTGGCAAAGCCAACTGGATGCTGTCTGAAGCTTATTCCCACTCTTCAGTGTGCTCAGTGCACATTGGAAAGACAGGTGACAGATGACAGACATCTATGGTACTTGAAGAGGAGAGAGAATTGAACTTACGGATTCTACAGTCATTTAAAAACTCGACAGTGATAG